GTCTTAAACATTCGACACTATCCTCAATAGTGTTTAACAGACACTTTGATCTTCCTGTTGTCGTGAGGGTGGGGGTGGGGAGGGGGGCTTCATCTAAACCTGGCAATGCCAACAGAAAGACAGACAGAGCTAACATGTAATGTGTCTGATTTAATTCAAAAATTTAGTTGCCAGTTTGTTTTGGATTTTTTGGGGGGGAAAACTAGAAACGGAAGATTCGTATGAAAACCGGGGAGCCACAGTGGCTAAGTGAGAAAGACGCTGGCTCGCATGGATGTAGCGGGTTTGATCCCGGTGTTGTCCAATGTCCCGTGAACTCATTGGCGTGCACGTAAAAGACCCTTGGCAGTTGGAATTCGATCGATACTAGAGTAGGCCGTAGCACCAAATGGCGTATGCCCGTCGTCATTAGTCCAGTTGTAGCAGAACAGTAGGACGCGTCCGGATAAGCGGTTTTGACGTTCACGTCCAAACGACTCAATATCGCGAGACACGGTACATACATTGCATACAAACACAGACTTTTATTTCGGAGACTTTGTTAAAATCGGGATGGTCTCTTTAAACCCGATTTCATTTCCGGATGAAACCCAAAAGATTGAACAGGTAAACCTTTGTCAGGTACAAATGTGATATCGAACCCTGTATGGGTGGTAAATTTATGATATAGTTAGTTCACTTTCCTTCAAATGCAAAAATTAAATAGAACAGTTAGCTCCCTTCTTTTCGGCAGTAATCGATTTAATGGCGACGGGCATAAGCCATGATTGAATTTTTGCACGGACTCTTCATCAAGTCCAAATTTCAAGAATTTGCGAACGACTGGACGTTTTTATGAGAACTTGGACCAGTAACTGGGGTGGCGCTCTTCGAAGAACCCTAAGGCCCAGTTTTATACTACTGGGGGATACTTGGCACCCATCCATTCTAGTCACGGCTAGTTGCATATTGGGATCCCGAATATAAAGTTGAGTAACGAATAACGAGGTAGCTTCATGGATATGGTGATTCAGTTCCTTGTCCATAGGAAGCTTATTTTTTTTATCAGACTCTCGGTAAACACGAGGCTTTCCATTGATAAATATTAGATAGAGCTCTTAACAAATCACGGACATCAACGTATAGTCGTTCGGATGGGACGAAAAAAACGAGTCCCATGTACAAATTGGCATGCTCTTTAAAGATCCCTTGGCAGTTGGAATTCGATATTAGAATAGGCCGTAGCGCTGCTGTCCAGGTTACATTTCCCTCATAGCACTCTGCATGGCGTATGGCCGTTTTCATTTGCTCAGTCGAAGCAGTAGGGCGTTAAACCCCATTTCATTTATCATATCGTAAGATACGTTCCTCCCACAGCTAAAGACCCCTTTATGGAGATTATGGAAATAAAATTGAATCATATGTTAGTCCCGAAATGACCAAGTTTGTTTCGAGTGGACATAAATCCGAACTTGACTAATGAAGACGGGCATGCGCCATACAGTGTGATATGAGGAAAATATTGCCCAGACAGCGGCACTACGGTCTTTTTTCATATAGAATTCCAACTGTCAAGGGATCTTTTACGTGCACGCCAATGACTAGACAGCTGTGCTTGTCAGGCCCTCTGTCCTGCATCACTCTCAAAGGAGAACCACACCGGACAATCTGGATGAACTTTCTCTACCAATGCAGGGATCGAAAACCGACCTCCAGACTAGCGAGCCAGCGTCTTACCCACCTAGCCACCGTGATCCCCTTCGAAGAGCTTCGAAGTCATTCATCTATTTCAATCAAATATAGAACAAATCTACTTTGTTTAAGAAATAACTTTAGATTTGAAATAAGCCTAAAAGATAATTGTCATACTTAGAAATCACAATAAACAAACTCAATCCTAAATATAACATCTAAAGTTACTAAATTAGATACCCTTAATGATGATATAATTGACAACTTAAATTGTTTATGAAAATATCTCTCTAGAATAGCAGACGAATTGCCGTCTGCCAGCATTCGACCCATCTTTTAACCCCCAACATAAACACCAGTGATACAAGTCCCTATTATCCAGCACTATCTAAACTATACAAATCATTTTAGTCTTGCTCATCAAGTCATCTCAAAAAATTAACATTGAAATTGGCTATTGTAAACCTTTTCACAAGATATTCTTTTAACCCCTAACATAAACACCCAATGTTTGTCAGTGATACAAGCCCCTACTATGCAGCTCTTTCTAAACTATACAAATCATATTAGTCGTGCTCATCCAGTCATCTCAAAAAATTACCATGGAAATTGGTTATTGTAAACCTTTTCACAAGATATTCTCAGCCACCTCTGAATTATAAAGTCATCAAATATTGCAATAATTGAAACATGGAAATTTATAATTAGTATTTAAAACCAGGTTTTCTCATTGACACTAAATGTACTTAAAATCTGTATCGCTCTATTGTATATAGGTGTGCAAAATACAGGCAATGATTTTATTTATATATATCATATTTTACTTTTTACTCTTTTATACATACTCAACTCTTACACTATACACATTATAAATAATTTTACTGTTCACTCTTTTATATCTACTCAACTATTAGACTATACATATTATAAATAATCAAAAATATTTGTTTTAATTATTGTATATTATTGTATTTTACTTTGCCTGTGTGTCATATATACATGTAGTAACAGGGAATACTTTGCCCGTGTGTGTCTTATATAGTAACAGCGAATACTTTGCCTGTGTGTGTTTTATATAGTAACAGGGAATAAGTAAAAAAATAAATTAAAGGTGTGGAAATTATAAAATACTGTAAATATTATAATGTATAATTATATTCTGTGAATAAATATATTACAAGCTAAAATAAATATCATTAGTATATCATGTATTATATAGCTGACTGATATAATTACAATACCATTAGTATATCATGTATTATATACCTGAATGATATCATTACAATATTATTAGACCTCTACTATTGATCAATCAATTATATGTTATGATACTTCGTTTAGTCATAAAATACTATATTACTCGTCTAATGATAGCAGTTGTTTTAATGTTGATTCATTTCACTTGAATAGATGTTCGTTATACCCATTATAAATAATTACATCACTTGTACAAAATAGCTTAGGTTAACCTTTGTTACAATTCTGATTCATTCCACATGGGAGCCACGGTGGCTCAGTGAGTAAGACGTTAACTCGCTAACCTGTCAGTGATGTAGGACAACGTATAGTCCTTTGGATGGGATGAAACACCAAGGTGAGGTCCATTGTACATATTGGCGTGCACATAAAAGAACCCTTGAGAGTTGGAATTGGAAATAAGAGTAGGCCGTAGAGCCTCTGTCCGAACAAAATTTATCTCATAGCACACTGCATTAGCCCAGTCGGAGCTGAACAGTAGGACGTTAAAATCCATTTCATTTCATTTCACTTGAAATATACTGATTATAGACATTAATAATTCCCATCATATCTTGTAATACAGTAAACTTTGATGTTAATTATTCTCCACTATAAACCAATGATATGCTTGGTTTAGTATTAATTGGTTATCTATTATAGTTCATATAATATTAATAGTACATCATACTATGATATGCTTGGTTTAGTATTAATTGGTTATCTATTATAGTTCATATAATATTAATAGTACATCATACTATGATATGCTTGGTTTAGTAGTAATTGGCCATCTATAATAGTTCATATAATATAAATAATATAGGATGTAGGTAATAGTTAACATGTACAGAAATTATTGACCTTAATAAGAGAGAGAGAGAGAGAGAGAGAGAGAGAGAGAGTTTCGTTATTAACATATTTTTCAATTTTATGTAAATGATTCGCTTATGCGTATGGGTCTTTAGAAGTGGGAGCAAAATTAAGAGGATGGGCCCTACTTCTTGTCCCGTACAAGCGGGGAATCGAAACCACACCACTTGACTCATTGCAGACCTTATGATCCAACGCGCATGCGTTAACCTTTCAGTCACGCAACCTCCCGCAATATTTGGAGAATTAATCTCTCAACTAAATATCCGCTTCAACCACATGGATATTAAAGATACATTGTCACAAATATATTTATCAGGTGGTTATTCCCAGTAAAAGTATGACATGATATATATGAAAAGCTTAGACGCCCAATCTTACTAGAAAAATACTGGATTACGCGAAAAACAGGAACTGTACAAAAATGTCAGGGTATCACTAACTGCCAACCCGACGGCTCATTGTATGCTAGTTTAACTGAGGGAGCCAACACGACGGCTTATTGTATGCTAGTTTAACTGAGGGAGAGGTTGTTATTTCTTGATCGAACGGTTTGTATACGGTGAAGTATCTTTAAAATATTCTGGCTTATCTTGATATAACTGACGTTTTAGTCATATAACCACAAAATAAAATAGGAATGTAATTTAACATTTCGTTAACACAACACAATACTACCGGCTTTTTATTCTGTTATTAAGGGATGTTATGCTAATGAGAAGAATTTTGCCCTGACAGCGGCGTTTCATCGAATGTATTTTATGTGCACGCCAATGTATACACGTAGGAACCATCCGAAGGACTAGTCAGCCCAATAGACGTTATACCCCTGACAGGTGAAACTCAGGCTTGACAAACCTCAAGGTTCTTCTCGAGAATCGAACTTAATTCCCTGACATCAATATGTTATTATCAGAATACTTAGACATTGATTTATTGTCTACACTGTTAGAAAAAATCTGGTAAATTTACATGAAAATTACTGGCAGCAAAAGTTGCCAGTAAATTTACTGTAAATAAACATTCAGCTGTAATATTACAGAGTTTCTGTAATTTGACTTTGTGAGTAAATTTACCTTAAAACAGTAAATGGAAAATAACATGAGTTTGTTTTTTAACTTTGAACTGTAAATTCACCGCAACACAGTAAATGAACGGTTACAGTAAGTTTGTTTTTAGATTCCCCAATGTAAATTTACCTAAAAGCAGTAAATGAAAAATTACAGACAAATGTTAAAATAAAACACAATGATTTTAACTTCCGTTCCAGGATTTTAGATGTAAGCTTGTGGTACTGTCTACTGCAGGCATTGTAACTCTCCTCTAGAGACAGTCAAGCTAACACTGGCCAATCGGTTTAATTAACCGTCTTCAATTGACCTTGGTTACGAGATAATACAATCTATGACAAGTAAGCAAAACATTTTTTTTATACGTTAATGAACATACTTACAATCTGATCAACGTACGATGAATAATAATACACGTTTTAGATCGTATAAATAAAGAAAATTAAATATATATAACATGCAATATACCAAATTGCACAAAATGTGATAGTCCATATTATGGTTAATAAATTAGAATGAATACTATAAGACAATAATTATTAGGAATGGTTCGTTGCTATTGAATACTAAAATAAAATAAGAGACAGTAAATTTACATAAGAGACAGTAAATTTACCAATAAGTAAATTTACAAAATAATGTGAATAAACGTAAATCTGTAAAATTACCTACTGGCTTTGCTATTTTCATTTCAATATTGAAATATTACGCATGTATTTTTACCGGGGTTTAATGTGCCTTTGGTTTCATCAAAGTTTATTGTAAAAAAGAATGAAACTTGGTAAATATACATCATTTTGGTAAACATTCCGAACATTTTTGGTAAAAATTTAATTGCTGTAAATTTACTTATATTTCTAACCTGAAAGTTTACAAAATAATGTGAGTAAACGTAAAATCTCTAAAATTGCATGCTAAGAGACAATAAATTTACCGAATACGATAACTACCAATAAGTTAAACATACATTATGCAAGAGCTAAATCTGCCTATTGCAGGTCTTTCTTTAGGCCTGATATGTTCTATAAACTATGAATTAGACATTTATTAACATGAAAAGACCATAATCAACTCATGGATGCCATCTTATGTGTTGGATTTTCACTGGATTTGAGTCCGATCTGGGGCTCAACGCTCATTAATGATTAAATTCAAAAATAGATAATCAAGACTATGTTTTTTTTATCGTACTGACTTAATAAGTAATGATGATCGAGGCTAGGCCTAACATCCAGTCTCTAATATCTCGGTTCCGAGAGGATCAATTTGACAGAAATTTTCAGCATATTCCCATTACATTATCTAGTTTTTAACTATTATAGTGAGAACTGCTGTAATTTTATTTATATTTCTAACCTAAAAGTAAATTTACAAAATAATGTGAATAAACGTAAGATCTGTAAAATTACATGCATGATTGTTTATTTTGAGTTCAGTTTGGAAATATTACATATGTAAGAATGTATTTTTACTGATTTTGAATGTGTCTTTGATTTCATCACCGTGTATTGTAAAAAAAGACACGAAACTCTGTAAACATACACGAAACTCCGTTAAAATACGCCAGACTTGGTAAAACTACTACATTGTGGTGAACATACCGATAATTAATGTACAAAAACTGCTTGTACTACTGTAATTTTACAAAAATTTCTAACAGTGTACGGTATCAACTCAATGGAAGCGGACGTAAATTAACCTTGGTATTATGTCAAGTATTATATTATCAAGGGAGTCGCGATGGCTCAGTGAGTAACGTCTATCATAGAGTCAATTGGCGTGGACTCGGTTCCCCGCATGTACGTGACACAGAATAGGGTAGCCTGTCCACCCTCGTAGGTTTTTTCCTGGTCTATCATATACATAGAGTCAATCTGCATGGAGTAGGTTCCCCGCATATACGTGTCAACGAATCTCGTGGGTTTTTCCGGGTCCTGAACTGCGGTTTCCCTCCACTTAACCCCATATCTATCTATCTTTCTCTCTAAATATAATCTAAACGTGACATGTTAATACTATTATAAAGATAGATCTAGGAGTAGCCCGTGTCACCAACACTAACAATATCCGTCGTCCTTTAATATAACATACATTCATAATACACCGCTAGATATGCATAGTGCTAGATATGCATTCATATATATAACATAAATATAGTCTCAATATATATCACACTATAAGTTGATCTACTTCCATACTACCTATGAATACTAACTCAATGCATGAAATTCAAACAAAAATCGAAATAATAGAACAAAATACAATACAAGGTTACGATATTCTAAAATATATAAATTAGCTGAGGTCAAAAACAGTGCTAAAAAGCAAATTAAACAATTAATCAATCAAAATAATACAGTATTTGATAATGAACAAGATATTCTAGACACAATTCACCAATATTACCAACAACTATATACTACCCAAAACATTGTCGAAAACCTAATAAACTCCTATATTGAAAACAGTAACATAAATACCCTAACTAACACGGAAAGAGATTCCCTGTCTCATTTCATATCTAAAGATGAAGATCTGAAGGCGTTACAAAGTTTCAGATCAAACCGTAGCCCAGGCATCGACGGTATTCCAGGAGATTTCTATATCAAATTCTTTGACACAATAGGAACCGACCTGACAGAAGTAATAAACAACATCTATCTACAGGGTGAATTATCTAACCCAATGAGAACCGGTATAATAATAATCTTTCAGATAATACCAATTCCAACATATTTGAAATAGTGCAAAAATACATAAAAGACAGCAAGAGATTTTAAAACTTTAACATTTAAAACTTAAAATTACACTTCAAAATGTATATATGTTTGTTACTCACTGTCTGTACATATGTCACCACTGTATTGTAAACATAAGAGTTAACTATTTTATATGTTTGGAGAGAACTTATATAGGCCTTGCCTGTTGTTCAATCCAATTCAGTTTATTGAATAAAATATTGTTTAAACTAATAATAATTAATTATAAGAATAAATTGTTTGTCTATAAGAATAGAGGCGACCACCGATTATTTAAGAACTATAGACCAATAAGCCTGTTATGTGTCGACTATAAAATCATCACAAAAATATTAAGTATATGAATGAACACAGTTATTAACAAATTGATCTCTAAAACACAAACGGGAGCCGGACCAAATAAAAGCATCTTCGATAACCTGTATTTAATTGATTCAATCCTAAATTATTTAGACACACATGAAACTAATGCCTATATCTTATCGTTTGATTAGGAAAAAAGCCTTTGACCGTATTGAACACAATTATATAAAAACCCTACTAAAACATATGAATTTTCCAAATGACATTGTAAATTGGGTTACAATACTGTTTAAAAATTTGAAAAGTAAAGTTCAAGTAAATGGATCCTTCTCTCAAAATATCAAAAATAATCGTTCGATCCGTCAAGGTTGTCCACGATTCTTTATTCCTTACGTATAAATGTTGGCTCCGTATATAGCTCTCAACTAAATTAAGATAAAACCGAAATCCACCATGTTGGTGTTCGTAAACCATCCCATGACTCATTTCCTGAAAATATAAACATAAACATTAAAACAGACACAATTAAATTACTGGGCTTTTGTTTTGAGATCAATAAAATGGAAAAAAATCTGGTTACCCCTCATCATGACGATTAAATCAACTATTAGTCACTGGTCTACTTACAACCTATCGATTAAAGAAAAAGTCTGTACTTGTACTGGTCACTCATTGATAGTAAGAACGTACAACCAAAAATAAACAAACACCTACCTCATATAAATTTTGAAAAAGTTTGGCATAATTTATATAAATGTCCAACACTATCTGAAATAGAAAAAGAATTTATGCACAAAATAATACACAATGCATTTCCCACAAAAGATATTCTCCACACTCCAAATATTTACGTAGATGACTATATATGTCAATACTGCAAGAAAAATAATGAAACCTACAGTCACTTATTTCTACACTGCCCTAAATTACAGCACTTTAAATCCTTTGCTGCTACACATATAAACAATATACATTCCACAAAATCCTTCCATATCATGTATCTCTACCTCTGGATCATATGGTCCAACAGAATGCATCCCTATATCAACAACATCTCCAACCATCTGATATATCAATTCTATACAAAAAGAAAAGAAAAGAAAATATAAATAAAATCACCAAGCTTCACCCTACTCTGCCTTACTAAATTCTCTGGTGTAAGGCAAATTATCGTTCTGTGTGAAGCTTCTAAATTAATTACTCTATTATGTGACTGAGCAGATCGTGCTATTTACTTTTAAGTTGCCATAACTTGGCATCTTAATCATCTTTCGTTTTCGTTAAATGGCACTTTCATACTGTGTCGTATAAACAAAATACCCAGGCACCCACCGAAATAATTGTATGTTCAAAAGAAAAAAAAGAAGCAGGTGCAGGTTCGAAGGCATGGCAAGAGGAATATCAGTTAAGTCGTCCACGAGCAAAGTCGTCCACACGAAAAATCTGGTGAAGTCGTCCACACTCGTTGGTGCAGTCGTCCACATAGGCGTACGGGGAAATTTTTGACTGGGGGGGGGGGGGGGCGGTGGTGGTTGGTGCCCAAAAAATGTAGTTAGGTTCTTAGTATGTTACATAATAATAATAAATTCGCTGTTAAATTGGACACATTCAAGAACACAATATTTTTTTTATACAATTTTTACAAAGTACAATTGTGTGCCCAAATACGTTGGTTAAGTCGTCCACACGACATAGTTTACTTTCGGGACACATTCGCTTTATCATTTCGGAACATCTCCACGCTAGAGCGGGCCCGTTTATTAATAAACAACAAAGTAAATTGTACACTAAAATATATTAACAATCAAATATTTATTTTTTCAGTTACAACAAAAAAGCATTAACGAAGGATTTTTCAGGCGGGATATCCGTGTGGGGAAGAATCGCCATGGAATTGTTGCCACAGAGAATCATTGAATTTGTTATATTTATGAAATTGTTATGTATTGAAATTTTATTGTACACTTTATATTGAATTTTATTGTAAATTTTGTTGTACACGTATCATCTGCGGGCACTGGATCATCTATTAACCTAAAAAATCAAATAATACAAAATACTAATTAACCAGGGACGAAATGGCTCGGATGGGACAAAAAACCGAAGTCTCGTGTATGTGGCGTGCACGTTGAAGATTCCTTGAGAGTAGGCCGCAGCGCCGCTGTCCGCTCTAAGTGTCCCTCATAGCACACTGTATGGCGTATGCCCGTTTTCGTTAGCACAGTGGGAGCAGAACAGTAGTTTGCTGTAGTTTACAAGTGATTCCAATCGCTTAAAGTGGCAGATCGAGACATTAACCTAATTCCGTTCTAAACAGGGAGCCAAAGGGTGCTAGCTTACTAAGTGAGTAAGACGTTGGCTTGTAAGCATGGAGGTCGCGGTTCATCTGGATTTTCCGATGTGGTTTACCTTTGTCAGTGGTGCAGGACGGAGGGCCTGCCAAGGACAGCTATCTAGTCGTTCGGATGGGACGAAAAACCGAGGTCTCGTGTATACATTGGCATGCACGTATGCCTTGGCAGTTGGAATTATTGGGTATTATTAATTGGGTGTTATTGGGTAATTCAATACGCCCGGTCGGGGCATATTAGAAAAAATGTTATAGGCCAAGGCATGTCATAGATTTAACATTAAAATCACCTGGGGAAAGAATTACTAATTACTAATTACTGACATCATAATTATGAACATGCTTAGAGTTATAGCCCTTGATTTCACATAAAACGTATCAAAGCTATATACAGGGCTGAGTTATTGCCCGAATTTCATGAAATTTGCTAAAATCCATATCAGCGTGAATTTGACCATCTTTCTTTTATTTAAATTTGGTTTTGGTGTTCAATAGGAGAATGTCTCAGTCACGAATACGGAAGGACTCCTCACTTTTTTTTCTATTTGCAATTTTTCTATATACACCCACGCGTAATATAGGCGTATAGAGTTGTCGGCTGTCGGTCAGCTGTTTCGTTACACAAATTTACAAACCTTGACAGGATGATCCATATCCATTTATCCTGCATTGTTGCAGTTTTATAGTAAAATAGATAGGGTGACTAATGTCGTCCAAGTTTATAAAACAATCAATTATTGTACCAGGTGAGAATATATAATAAAAATACATCACCTATTGATATATAATTATATATAAATAATCTTGTCTTGGAGAGCGGCGCGACAGCTTACTCTTACACGGAATTCCAATACCTGCACGCCTGAGTAGACAAGAACTGTCGGAACAACTAGGTGTTATCTATTGCCAGGCCCAAAGTCCTGCACAATGGAAAACGGGGGAACCACGCCAGTTCATGACAGTACATTTAACCCCGTATTTATCACAGTCACACCCAATATATATAATACTAGAATGGGGTTTAACGTCTCCTCAATTTAAGACTAATTAATGTATTTTTCTTTTCAATCGCCAGGCGTGCAATACGATGGTGAACTTTGCCTGGAATGCCGCTTTTTACCCTATCCGATGGATTAGGCACATTTCCTTTGTCAATTCCGCCGGGGCCACCCTGAAAAGCGAGAACGAGTTCTTCTCGGGCCCATGGCGTGATTCGAACTCTAAAACGCAATTTAAAGTAATATTTAACTGTAAATGATGTTACATCAAAACAGCTGTTATACCTTCTTTTAATTTTCTCTACCTTAATTATGGGGGGTTGGATGGCGGAATGGTTAGCACGCGCGCTGTACCATACGTGTCGGAGCGGCCCCTTTTACTGATCGCGGAGCCCGGATGGGGGAGTCCGGGTGCTCTCCCCCGGGAAAATTTTGAAAAATGGGAGGCCATTTCACGCAATTTGAGACCATTCCCGACATCCCAATTCTGTAATTTCATCTCTGTAAATAACGAGTTAATAAAAATGTTAAGGAATGTTTAACACCAGTCTCAGGAAATCGTCTCGCACTCATATTCAGCAAGCAGACTAGCTATCATCAAATTTTGCTGAGGCCTTAAAATTGAAATTTTTTTTTGAGTTACAAACGATCGGCAGACGTTTCTGACGTATCCCCAGAAACAGGGTGCATGGGACTTAATAATTAGTAAATTTGCCGGTGAAAGTGTCTGGTGAATCCGGTGAAATTTTCGGATTCCGAATTCCGGCCCACACCCAGCACACCCGGCCCAGAAAGTCTATTATACCAGCCCATTCCAAACTCCAGTGATGGCGTGGTGGCCCGTTAAAGCTACCGGCCACATACAACATGATCATCATCGCTGCATGACCGGTTCAATACACCCCCCCCCCCCGCCCCATATAATGTTCAGAAGAAAAAGGTTTTATTAGACGAATTGCACCAAATTATTTTTTTCATTTTTTGTCTGACCGGCCGATGGTTGTATGTGACAAGGAGTAGGGTCGCCTGTCCAGCCTCTTGGGTTATCTCCTTGTCCCCCGGTCCCAGCCCTACGTGCAAGCGTATTATTGAAAAAATTGAAATACACTGTATATGTTAGTCCCGAAATTACCTAGTTTGTTTCGAGTGAACGTTTAACCCTATCTTCTCCTTCTCCATTGTAAAATACTGATTATTTGTTTGTTCTCAAATCCCCCCCCCCCCCCGCATCAACAATTGTAATAAAATAAGTTTATTTTAAACAATAAACCACAGCACATAATTATGGAAATAATAATTTATTTTGACATTAGGAAGTAATCGCTCTTTCCACCGTAAGAATATAAAAAAATGTCCGCCTAGTATCCGGTATCAATTTTGGCCTATCTTGATATTACTGATAACCACAAAAAACACAACACACTACTCCCGCTTTTTTCTGAAATGACATGAAATGAAATGAAATGGGGTTTAACGTCCTACTGTTCTGCTCCTAACCTGGGCTAATGAAGACGGGCATACGCCATACAGTATGCTATGAGGGAAATTTTGCCCGGACAGCGGCACTACGGCCTACTCTTATATCGAATTCCAACTGCCAAGGGATCTTTTACGTGCACGCCAATGTGTACACGGGACCTCGGTTTTTCGTCCCATCCGAACGACTAGACAGCTTTCCTTGTCAGCCCCTCCGTCCTGCATCACTGACAAGGGAGAACCACGCCCGCTTTTTTATGTTGTCAAGGGTGTGATACTAAAGAGAAGAATCTTGTTCGGTCATGGGCATTTCATCGAATTTCTTTTAAGAGCACGCCAATGTATACACGGGTGGACCTCTGTTTATCGTTACATCCGAAGGACTAGTCAGCTTAACGAACGCTGTCCCTGGCAGACGAAAATCAGGATCGACAAATCCTTCTCAAGATTCGAAATGAAATAAAATGAAATGAAGTTTAACGTCCTACTGTTCTGCCCCGAAATGGGCTAATGAAGACGGATATCCATACAGTGTACTTTCAGGGAAATTCTGTCCGGGCAGCGACACTACGGCCTACTCTTATATCGAATTCCAACTGTCAAGGGATCTTTTACGTACACGCCAATGTGTACACGGAACCTCGGATTTTCGGACCCTCCGAACGACTAGACAGCGGTCCTTGTCAGGCCCTCCGTCCTCAATCACTGACAAGGGGGAATCACGACGGAAAATCTGGATGAATTTAACTTTCTCGACCAATACAGAGATCGAACACCCAACCTCCAGGGTAGCGAGCCAGCCTCGAGATTCGAACTCAATCCCCTGACTCGTTGACTACCACGACCATCAATATGTTAATATCAGAATACTTAGACATTGATTTATTGTCTACGGTATCATCTCAATGGAAGCGGACGTAAATTAACCTTGATATTACGTCAAGTATTATATTATCAAGCGAGTCGCGGTGGCTCAGTGAGTAAGACACTCGTTCGTTAACCAGGGGGTTATGGGTTTGATGCCAGTGTTGGTTGAGAAAGCTATTCGGGATTTTCCGGCTTGGTGTCCCTCTGTCAGTCCTGCAGGAACACCGTCTAGTCGTTCGGATGGAGCATGGGATTAAAATCGGAGAGTCCCGATGAACTTTCTAAGTAAGGATATAGCGCCATGTGGACCCAGCCGTGTATATTATACTATTCAAAAAAAGTAGGGGATATTTGATTTTTAAGTGTTATTAAAGTCACCTAATGAAACTGACGAAGAAACAAATGACAAAATGAAATGAAGTTCACATTCATCGATTTATTCCAAATGATCGTTAGACTAAGTAAGGCACAGACTGACCATTATAAGGGTAAAATGATAGCCGGGGTCAAACAGCAAAGTTACCACAGCATCACAACCAAGTCAGTAACGGGTAAATCCTCCTCTGTTTGCCAAACAAGCATTGATCCGACGTGGCATACTCCTAATGAGACGTCTAAGGTCATTTTGGTCCAGATTGTCCCATTCCTGTTGCAACGCAGCAGCAAGTTCTTGGACATTGGCAGGACTTTGTTGACGTTGACGTAACCTCTGTCCAAGCATGTCCCAGACATGCTCGATGGGGGAGAGGTCGGGACTCAGTGCTGGCCAAGGTAATGTGGTGATGTTCTGTTGTTGGAGGTAACCTGTAACGATCCTGGCCCTGTGACATCTTGCGTTGTCATCCTGGAAGATGAAACGGCGGCCATGACGTCGTGCGAACGGCACAACATGGACTGCCAAGATGTTGTCCCGGTAGTACTGGCCTGTAACACGCCCTGCAACAACATGTAAAGCCGTTCTTCCAGCAACAGTGATGCCTCCCCACACCATAACAGAACCACCCCCAAATCGATCATGTCTGATGACGTTAACGTCTTGGAAGCGCTCGTTTCGACGACGCCACACCCTCCTACGTCTGTCCAAAAAATCAACAGTGAACCTTGACTCATCTGAAAACATCACATTGCTCCAGCGTCGATTATCCCAGTGTTGACGATCCCTACACCAACGACGTCTTGCCTGAATGTGATGATCTCTCAAACAAGGGATGACGCGAGGACGTCGGGCGCGAAGGTGACCCCTATGCAGTCGATTCCGAATCGTCTGGCCACTCACTC